TATCACAAATAAAATTACATTTGTATAATTAAAGCTAAGTAGATAAATGACAAATTCCTATACCTTAAACGTTGTTATGAATAAAGATATCAATCTTCTTCCTAGATCCTCAAAAATAAGCTTTTTTTTCATGCAATTTCTAACAAAGAAAGAAAAAAAAAGAAAAAATACATTTCACTACATGTTAACCTGTTGATGCCACCAATAGTGCATATATACATAGACTGTCCACAATGGTTCAGTTTTAATAATCTTTTTACACAAATATGGTCTTGCAATTGAGTTGTCACCTAGAGTAGTCTCAGTTCAAACCCATCCCTGGTATGCCCCAGTATGTATGTACATACACATACAAAAGAGGCTTTCTCTGTCTGTCTCTCTGTCTCTGTCTCTCGCACTCTGGCTCTCGCGCTCTGGCTCTCTCACACACTCGCACTCTCACGCACTCGCTCTCTCTTGCTTTCTCTTGCTCTCTCTTACTCTCTTGCTCTCTTTTACCCTCTTGCTCTCTCTTACTCTCTTGCTTTCTCTTGCTCTCTCTTACTCTCTTGCTCTCTTTTACCCTCTAGCTCTCTCTTACTCTCTTGTGCTCTCTCTCTCTCACTCGCTCTTGCTGTCTCTCAGTCTTGCGCTCTTGCTCTCGCTCTCGCTCTCTCTCTCGCTCTCTCTCTCTCCCTCTCTCTCTCATTCTATTCAGTTTATTATTGTTATCAAGTGTATTGCCATTAATACTTTTATCATTATAATAATATTGACAGCAAAAATAGTAGTAATAAACAAAACAACCTGAAAATTCAAGGAATAGTGCAACCATGTGAACTTAGGTAGGATTAATAACTGACCTCTCAGTTACGAGACCATGAGTAGTCATTTGTTTGTAAAAAAAAAAATATTAGTATAACAAAATAATAGAAGATACTTGTCCCATGCATCAATGGGTTTTGTGGATATGTTTACAGACTGAAGATCAAGGACCTTTAGACCAGTTCATGTAACACTTGGAATGCATATAAAATTATAAAGCTAAGATTATTTTCACTTCACTTCATACAGTCTACAATAATGGCCATTAGGAAAGTAGAAAAATATACAAATTCACATTGGTAAACAATGAGCAACATTGGATAGTAGTTAAAAAGCATTTAACCATGTTACTATTTGCATTACAGCAAGTTCAATCAACTTTCTGCATAATCATATTACTATGTCACTACATGTACTAGGCTTGTTAGAATCAATAAAAAATATATGCAAGTCCATACACTTGGTTATTTGAGTGTACATACACAAAAATCAAACCTGTCAACCATTTTGTATCTCTCAATCATATTTCAGTTGTAACAGTACAGTTTGCAACAGACTACTTCATATCATACAGGTAGGAAATGGGAAACTCCTAGAACATTCATAAAGGAAAGATAATTCTACTTGGAATATAAGCAAGAGTAAGATGAACAAGCTCAACAAAGTAGCAACACAAATAACTCTCCCTCTGAGATCTGCACTGTATACAATCTGTGCTTAGTAAGGCAGAATACATAATCTGTTTAAAATATAACAAAACTTAATATAGGCTTTGTACAGGACCACTACAGACAAACAACAGACAAACTTGAGAAAATCAAAAGAACTAAACTAAGGTTAGAAGATAATAGGAAAGAAGTTCTTTTACAGCAATAACAAATATCTAACTTGCAGAAAGAAATAACTTCCACATACTATGGTCCTTAAACCTTCATGATAAAAAACACACTCAATATGGAAATCACTCTTCACAAAATAAAGTTTTTTCTTCATGAGAAAACTACTATATCCAATTTCGGAGTTTATCAATCAAACATTCCCAGACAATAACTTTGGTGGAATGTATAAATGATAAAAAAATTTCACATGTTAATGGACATACGAAGATGTTAGAAGTTGAAATATTCAGTCAAAGACCTCTTTTTCAAAATATAATTTAACTTGGCACTTTTAAACTATTGATGCCTGGATTGCATTTGACTTTATTTTATGAATTTTGTTTACGCAAGCAAAGCTCCACTAAGTGCTTTGTCACACAAGATTCCATTGGACTATTCAGTCTACCGGATCTCCCCAGTTATCATTATTCTTAATAATATAACAATAATAATAATGCTACTAATGATAATGCCATTAATAACACTAAAAATTGTATTAGAAATAATTCATGGAATAAAGCAAGATCAGATTGGCTTCATGACAACTCCTTGGTGACTAAGTGATTGTGAAGCCATGTCTGTGTAAACAAAATTAGAAAACAAGATTGCAGTGGTCAAAACATGTACCCTGCACCAAAGGGAGAATGAACAAACCTGTTACAATAGCTTTAAATTCAAAAATACTGTGAATATCTTTTCTCTTTAGGAAAATGGGTTTCCCCATATTCCTGAACATATTGTGTACATTCTAAGTATAGTCAGTAATGACTATTATACTCGCAAGGAAAATGTACCGAAACTATCCACATTTCCTTTAA